GTGTTGTGTTGAGGTCAGTGAGACTGGCTCAGGACAGGGCAGGCTTCAGAGCTGCTGTACACACGGTCGCTGTGGGTCTCAGGTGACTTGATGTCACATAACAATGACAACAGTGGCTCCTTGGGAGAAAGATGAGCAATCTCTTCCTGTGTGATTCCAGTCTCTGAAAACCTGCTGGAGGGTCAGCTATGATGAGTGCCCTAAGGTTTTTAGTTTGAGGGTTAACTTATTTAGATAGTAGCTTTCCCCTCATGATTATTTGTCATCAGCCAAATGAAAGCAACTCATTTTAAACAATTAAGCTGGGGAGCTCTGGTGGCCTAGTGGCAAGGAGCTGCAACTACAATCCCAGAGGTCCACGGTTTGAATCCACCAGATGCTGTGCCGGGGAAGGAGGGACAATCTCCTCCTGTACCAGTCAGATCTGATTTGACGGTACACTCACATAAAAATAAAAAAAAAACCAAAACAACAACAACAACAAAAAAAAACAATCAAGCTATAAAAAGTTGAAGTGGCATCAGAAAGAACAGATGTGGAAGATGTGGAATATTTGGGCTTGAGGTGCAGCTCTGCAAACTCTAGCAGTGGGGCAGTTGTATGTGATTTATTGCAAATAGCATGGAAATTTGAAGCCAAATCCACCCAGACTGAAATACAGCCACTATCACTGATGTCATTTAACCCTTAAGAGCCTCATTCTCTGATTTTTTTTTTAAATGAACAGGAAGATGATACAATCTTGCTGGGCCTTATGTCAGCCATATCATATTCTACAAAATTTCTAGACAAAACAGAAGAAAATGTTTATTCCTCCAATACACAGAAAGGGCTCGGATCTATGGATGTCTGTGCCATGACTGAGTGTGCTGAGGGGGGGTGTGTCTCCCATCTCCACCTTTCCTGCCCCATCCTTTGATACACATGAGCAGGGCCCCCCACAAGCTCAGCAACACAGCCCACCCCCTCCCTACCGTCTTCTATCAATGAGCCGTGAACAAACCATACACAGAGAGAAGCATTGTGTTTTGGCTTTTTTTCTTCTTCAATTTAATTGAAGTTACTTAGAAAAATAATCAGGCTTGAATGGCTTTTCCTGGAGGAAGGTTCATGAACATTTCACGCTTTTTGTTGGCAATGTGGAATTCAGCTTTCTTTAACAGTACAGTAAGATACAGGGAGAGAGTTCTACAACAAGCCCTCTACTGCACACAGATATGTTAAAAAAATCATACTTCACAAAGATGTTAAAGGACGTCCGTATGCCATGCTGAGAATGCTCATCATAATAAAGACAGCCCCTTCTGTACCTGACAAAGAGTAGCAGACTGAAATTTGCCAAGAGCCCAGCTAGCAGGTTCTGCTGCTTGTTGGTGGGGTCCAGTTGGTTGTGATGGGGACGAGTCGGAGGAAATGCAGGTTTGGGAGGGTGTGAGATCAGTCCTGCTGATGTAGAGGTGGACAAAGAGGGGATTTTTGACCACCTGGCTTGCACAGAACAGGGAAGTGGAGCTTGTATGTGTGTGTAAGACTGGGCTGAGCGATGTGCCCTGGGCTTTTACCCCCCAGGGACAGTTAGAATCTCTGCTTCACTCAAGGTTAGAACAGGAACATTTGCAGTCACCACACAAGCCCAGGTCTCCACCAGTGAGGTGCTGGCGACTTACTTTTTTATTCTGGGCTTCCCCCCCACCCTGCCCCCCCCAGTAATATGCACTTCCCTGCTGTGCACTTCTCCTGTACATTTCAAAATGTGACCACCAGGAGAACAGGTGTGGCGGCCCTTTCTGCTGTCCCTGTTCTCTGGTGGGACCCAGGTGTTGAGGCCAGGAAGCTGGCAGGGAAGGAGGGAGGGAGGAAATTCTCTCTAGAGATCTCAGGTCCAGGGCTGCCCTTTGGCCCAGACCTGCTGGGCAGGGCTGAGAGGTAGGGGTGGGGTATCTGGAGAAGCGGCAGCAATTCAAACCCCGTGACTAGGAAGAATTTTCAGCCTAGGGGATACGCTAAGCGGGAATGTTGCTGTGTATTACACTGACTGTACCTGGCTTTCCAGACCTAGCGGCACCTTTGAAAAGTGGCTCAGTGACAGGGGCTCCCGTCTCTCTTTTTCTCCAGCTATGCATGTAATTGAATGTGTTCTCCAATATTTTTCTTTAAAGAACACGACTTTCTGCTTTCCAGGCACATTTCTAGAAATGGATTTTTTTAAAAGAAAGAAAGAAAGAAGGACACAGAATACTTTCTAGGTTCTGTGGAATAGCTGAATCATACTTTAAAAAAGTATTTATGCCACCAAAATAAAATGTGAACACACAAAAAAACACTGGGAGAGAAAAAAAAAGTCTCATTTCAGGAAGAGACGGATGGAATGGACAATCTTTCACTTAGCGACTGAGAAGGGAGGAGAGAAGGCAGGGCGGTAAGCCACGCAGAGGGCATTTATCCAAGCATTCAGAGACGGGCAGGGAAATGGGGAGCTTGGGAAGTCTCCATGAACGTCCATCGATAAACAGAAAACAGAACAAAAATCACAGTGAGCAATTTCCAAACAGTGGAATTGAAGATGCATTCGTTTAGAGCTGGGATTGCTCTGTTCCCAGGGAGCATCCTTTAAGGCTTGAAGAGCAAGGGGGTGGCTAAGGCTTTCTGCCTCCCCTCCCTCCCTGCCTCCTTTCCACACCACCCAAGGCTCCCATCCACTCCATGAGGGAGGGAGGGAATTGTGACCCATGGCAGGATTAGAACCACTGCATGAGTTAAAGTCATCTGGTAAAGTACCTCTGTCACTAGAAATCAGATAGGGACTGTGGTGCTACACTTCCTTCTTTTTTTTTTTGGAAAGGGGACAGGGAGGTGGATTTTATCCTTGAACATGTAGGGTGTGCTAATCAACTTAACCAACATCTGTTCAGAGGAGCCCTAGCTCTGCAGAAGAATATCCTGGTTACAGAAGTTCAGGAGAAGCTGACTCAGTTAACACTCCTGGGGTTTCACTACACACAGCACATGCTCAAGGCTCTGAAAAGGCCTGCGAATAAGAAAACTGACTGAACTTGGCTTCTCAAGAGTATGTGACCACAAAAACCCTTATTTCGCAGCACACCAATTTGATGATCCGTGTGGTTCAAGCTCTGGAGCACACACTCTGGTGAATGCTTGGGGGAATCAGCAGAAGCCCTGTGTCTGAGGACAGCATCCCTTGTCCGAAATAAAAGTCCAGACTCCCAGATCCAGGGCCTGAAGTTTGTCATTCTTGCTGGTAAATAAGACATTCCCTAAATCTCTGTCTCTCAAGGTTCTGGCCACCATGCTCTTCCTCACAAGGAGGGTATTTGGAAGAAGGCAGGCGGCGTTTTATAAATAGCTTCACACACTCTCTCCAATGCACACCTCACTCACGTTAAATAAATTCATTTCTTGGTGAGATGTTGCAGCTGCTGCTGACGGAGCTTGCTGTGAGCTTTTACAATACAATTTTAATAGTTTCTGTGAATAAATTACTCATTTTTTTGTTTGTTTAGAATATTCTTCTCACCCCTTCACTATACGCTGCATTAAAAAAAACCCCAAAACAATAAGCAAAACTTCCCCACACCCCATCCCACCCCCCATTATTAGAACTATTATTATTATCATCATCATCATTATTATTGTTATTATATACAGTATCTGCTACCAATTCATTCAATAGCTGTAAGAGGGATGTGGCTCAAACTTTAACTGGGAGTCACCAGAAATGGCTGAAAATGAGAAGCATGTGAAGATGTTAATTGGCAAGGAGCAAGAGATCAAAAGCATCCAGGCTTCAGGAGTTGAGAGCATGGAAAGTTGTCCCTGTTGCTCATGCAAGTGGACCAGCTGTGGAGGTGTGGCTGGTCTCTTAGCCTTGGGAGGACCTGGGGAGGTGTGCATGTGCACTTGCACACAATTAACATCCCTCCACCTCCACGAGGGGTATGCATGCCAGACCATTGCAAATCCCCATAATGTATGAGTTCTCCCTCAGCGTTGCATTCTTTTATGTGGCAATGTAAGAAAACAACCCTTCTAATGGGAATGAATGCTAGGCTGGAGATGACAGCAGGAGATGTTAGCAAATAGGCCTGTTCTCCTTCCTGTTCCCAAGGCAGACATTGCTAATCAATCCCAGCACTATTCCACACTGTGCCTGGCAAATCCTGAGATTCAAAAGCAGACACTGCCAATAATTTGAAGCAGGCACAGGATAGGATTTCCCCCCCCCATCTCTTATCTTGAACAATGAACTTGGATAACTCTCCTGCTAAAAATATGTGATCTTCAAATCTGTGCCAATAAATATGCGAATGGTTAAAGGTCATCGACTTTCTGGGGTTGCTCATGAATAAACCCAATGCCACTTAAGTCCACAAATGTCAAAGATTTAGTACTTGTTGAGTTGGATGCTCTGTGTCCATGTAAAGCTGCTTGAGGAGAGAGGCTATGGGTTTTGTCCAATATTATTATCCCCAATGCCCAGTACTGGGCTGAAAACATCCTAAATGCTCAATAAATACTTGCTGAATATAAAGCCACTTCACTGTTACATCTGGCGCTGCCAGTTAAAAATTTCTGTGGGAAAAGCATCATCTATCAGGCTGTTCATTCTGGTGAAAGAAGAAATGCTAGAAGCAGCTCTCTCTTTAGGTTTAAAGGAAAAATCACATTTCTTGCATGCAAGGGATTTCGAGGGTTGAGGGAACTGGGTTTTGAATGACTCCCTTTCAAAGATGCCTCTTACTAAGCCAAGAGCAACCTATTTATTTCTATCAGAATTTCCAGCACGGTGGCATCAATACACATCACAACGGCTGCTGACACACAATGACTCCAGACGTCACCAGGAAGGAAGAACACTCAAGCCCCCAAATGAACTGTAGCAAGCAAAGGACAAAACACAGATCTCTTCTGCTAAGCCATGAGGATCTTGCTGCCATCAGAAAAGAAAAGGGGGGGGGGAATCTATACAGAGACCAGGCTTAAATAACTATAAATAATATTAATTAGAATTTATGGAAAGCACAATTCATGGAATTCACCAGAACACGACCTTTGAGACAGTGTTGCAGTGCACACGTCTAAACAACGAGGACACTCATCCGATTCCCTTGCAAAGACAGCTGTCCTTCCCGACTACGGCTTTTAAATAATTCTCACCATGCTGCTCGCAGCATCATCCCCCAAAGGAATATTAATTTACAAAATAACCCAATATCCATATATTTCTTTTTGACAAATAAAAATCTTAAATTAAAAAGCACGATTCTCTCCCTCTCCCCTAAACCTCCCCCCACCCCCTGCCCCCTCGCCTTCCTATTCCAACTTCAGGTAGCTTGGCACTGAGTAATTGAACATTAAAAAATCGAGTTTGTAGACTTCGTAGAGCTGCGTTTGGTGCTCCGAGCTGATGTTCTGGAAGAACTCTGTGGTCATCTCATCAGTAGTTCTCGTGGACTTGGCATAGGTGGGGAACTTCAGGTAGCTGCCCACGCCTGCCAGCTGCAGGACATAGTTAGAATCTTCCTCCAGCGTCTCGTACTTGCCCACGAGGTCGTAATGGATGTGGCAGGGGTGGCACAGGGAGTAGACGGTCTGCCAGTGCTCGTTGAAGGGCTCCTCCCGCTGGGTGTGGGGGTCGATGAGATAGGCCACAAACTCCTCGAACTTGACATCGTCGCCCCTGCGCAGGGCCTCCTGGGTGGCGTTCTTACGCTGGCGCTTGATGATCTTGGTGCCATAGCGCTTGTGGAAGGAGGTGTTGTACTTCTGGGTGAACTTGTTGCGGTAGGCTGACACCAGGCGCTCGAAGGGCTCGCGGACAAACAGGAACTTCATGTAGCTTTTCAAGCGGTGGTTGATCTCGGGGATGCTGTACTGGTTGAGGGTCTTCAGGTTGGCCGACACGTGGGCCTCGTTGGCCGGGATCTCCATGGGGTCGCTGTATTTGCCCCGGCCGGTCAGCACCATCATGAGGCGCTTCCAGTTGGTGCAGGCCACCTTGGGCACGTAGCAGTAGATGAGCTCATGGTCCTCGTCCACCACCAGGTGCTTCAGGTCGCTGGGGGTCAGGACCCGCCGCTTGCGGCTCACGGCGCTGTTGGCTCGGCAGGTGTCCGTCACCTGGTCCCGGCGCATCTGGTGCAGGATGGCCGTGTTGGAGAGCTCCAGCTGCAGGGGGACACAAGGACAAGAGGGGCTCAGTGCTGTGGGGAATGTTCTCACGTCTATAAACACAACCCATCACCCCAAAGCCCCGAGGATCCATGTCTAACCCTCCACCAACTGCCTCAAGTACTTCTATCCTTTGTCCCACCATAACACCTTTGTAGGATAATAACACACTCCTAAAGATATATATCTTTAGGGAGCACTGATGGCCTTCGTAAGAGGCTACAATGAGAGAAGGATGGACAATCTCCTCCAGTGTTGCTTTATCCTCTGAAAACCCACTGGAGGGTCTGACTCTCCAGCACACAACAACTAAGTTGTGTTGGTGTTATGTGCCTTGGAGTTAGAAATGACTCACAGCTGGCCCTCCAGTGAGGTTTCAGAGGCAGTAAATGGCAGGGGAGGACACTGGCCATCTTTCTCCCGAAGAGCATCTGATGATTTGGGTAACATGCCTTTGGGTTGGTAGTGCAACTCCTCACCATTAAGCCACCAGAGTTCCCTAAAGAAATAAGAATCCTAGCCAATTCAACAAACAGGTCTGTCTTGGAGAGGGTGAAACCAAGTTTCTCCTTGGAGGCTAAGGTTTTGAAGCTCTTTCTCACATACTTTGGGCACGTGGCCAGGAAGGACCGATCCTTGGAAAAGGACATTATTCTTAGAAGAGTGGAGGGACAGCGCAGGAGAGGAAAACCCCAGAAGAGATGGACTGATACAGTAACTGGGGAAATGGGGGCTGGCGTGTTGGAGTTAGTGAGACTGGCTCAGGACAGGGCAGGCTTCAGAGCTATTATACATAGGGTTGCTATGAGTTGCAAGTGACTCGACAGCACATAACAACAATACCACTCAACTCAATGACACCTACCAACAGTAATAACAAAGAAATAAGAATTGAGACAGAAACAGATACCTTCATACCCATGTGCATGGCAGCAACATTTATAATAGCAAAGAGATAGCAACAACCCAAACAATCATCAACGGATGAATGGACAAATTATGGTACATACACACAATGGAATACTATGCAATACTAAAGAGGAATGAGGAATTAATGAAACATCACATAACAAGGATGAACCTGGAGAATATTTTGCTGAGGGCAATTAGTCTGTCACAAAAGGTCAAATACTGCATGAGCCTGCTCTTACAAAAAACTAAGGAAAAGTTTACAAGCAGCAAAAAAGGCTTCTTGATGGCTTTCAGGCATAGGGAAGGAGGGAGAAGAGAGGAAAAGTCAGGACCAAGTGAATAATGAATGATAAACTGTAATTTACCAATCACTTGTTTAGGTGCCAGGTATTTTACTAGAAGGTTTATATATATCTATATAAAATTTCCCTGCTCCTCAGTACAATCTTGAACCATCACTGATTTATTTAACAGTAGTAAATACCTACTACTGCACATTAGTAAGTCTGGGAGGAGTGAATGAATCTGTCAAGGAAGTCTGGTACGTAAGTAGTAAGGGAGATTTAAAGAAACTTCCAATTGTTCACAGACTCCAGAAAGTTCTTTAATAAGCCTTCAATAAACAACTGAGCAAACTGATATTCACATACAAACATCTAAGAGTAGAGCCCCTGATCTAAGGGAACTTTTTCACACAAAATAATGGGGAGAGGGTATTCTAATCAGTACATCAAAAGAGGTAACCATTCTCGCATTTAAAGCATCAATGTCATAGTGTTTAGCATCACAGCAACCACGAGTTACCTCTGTACAGCAAATGGACAGACCAGTGCTATACCACTTAGAATGTTTGACCAAAAAGAATTAAAGCCAGGCCTGAGGGCCGCAGATTAAAATCACTCACTTTTAGTTTGGTAGCATAACTTTCTATCTTCTAGGCCAACAGAGCTCTCTCTATGTTGTTGGGTGCCATCGAGTCATAGACGACTCATAGAGACACTATGAATGAAAGACCTGAGCACTTGTATAACTGTCATTGTTTCTCCACGTTCAGAGGGTTTCCAGAGGCAAGCTATTTAAGAAGTGGATGCCATTCCTGCTTCCCAGCTTGTTTTAATCAGGGAGCTCCACCAAACACTGTCCACCATGAGTAAGTAGGAGTGGCATCCACTTCTGAAATAGCTTGCCTCTGGAAACCCTATTAACTTGGAGAAATGATGAAAGTAATACAAGTGTTCAGTTCTTTCATTGATAGGGTCACCATGAGTTGTCTACAATTCAGCAACACTTAACAACAACAACGACGACGATGATGTTGAAAGAGGGTAAGGTTTAGAGTCAGAACACTTGGCTTGATCCTTGTCCAGGCCCCTGGCTTTCTGAGCTTCAGTTTTTTATTTGCAAAATAAGGGCAGTTATCTCTTAACATACAAAGTTGTTGATTAAGTTAAGTGTGCTATTGTTCTTATGTACCATTGGATAGGAACCAACCCATAGCGGACCCTCCAGCTCGTTTTCAGAGGTAGTAAACCGCACTGGAGTTGACTGCCCATCTTTCTCCTGTGGAGCAGTGGGTGGATTTTAACCAGATACCACTGGGATGGCACTGCAGCTCCTTACCAGTAGGCCACCAGTTGGTTCAGCATTTAGTAAATAAGATAAAGCCTAACACAGAACTTAGGCAAGGTGTGGCACACCTTGGTGGTGCTTTGCTGCAAACTGCAAAGATTTGTGTTCTCAGAAACCATAAAGGGCAATTCTATTATGCCCCAGGGTGACTGAGAGTCAGGGTCCACTGGAGAGCCTTGGTTTTTTGTTTATGGCATGCAGCAGGTAGTTACTATCTATGCGAGAGAAGAGCAATCAATAACATAAAAAAAAAAGAAAGAAAGATACATTTCACCAGCTCTGTAATTTTGCTTCAGGCCAGCCCTAGGTCACTGAATCCAATTAATACTTTTTTTCAATGGGAAAACTTTGACCTCTGCATCTCCTGCTTTCTTAGCAGATGTATTTATCACCTTCCTGGGTCCCGGGTTATTAGGCAATGCTGTTTAAAAAAACCCAAACACCACAACATTATCCAAGTGAATGTGGAAGGGTTAGGAAGGGGGGGAAAGGAAGGTAGAACATTTGAGCCTCAAAGGACAATTTTGAAGGCAATAAATTATCAAGATGAGCAGAGGAACAAGGGGCGCTCCTATATTTTGAACCTCCTTTTAGGTGGAGACAGTTTTCCAGCCCTCTGAAGTCCCAGGGATGCAGCACATCAGTTAATATCACATCCAAGACCACAATGCCAGGAAAGATGGAAACGGTACTGCAGTGTCATTTACGTCCAATTGCTGAAGCACAAAGTAACTCAGCGGGGCTGTGTGCGGCGGTATCTGAGGTGTCTTTCCATTTTCCTTGTCGCCACGGCAGTTTAGGAAGCAAATGGTGCACCCGCAGCACTGAGGCATGCCCAATTTCTCTCGGAGACCTGGGGGCACGCAGGTCAAAAGAAAGCTGCTCGGCCCTGACACATGTCCAGCCTTTCTAAAGGGAAGAAAATCTTCAGAGAGCTATTTTTATTAAAACCAAACCCAAGCAAACTTTGTTTTTATATCAGAAGCCAGGAAATTAAAAGACGTATTGCGGTGGGAAAGCTGCTGTTAGGGACCTCTCCAAAGTTCTGAAGAGCAATGCTATCCCTCTGGAGACTAAGGTGCGTCTGATATAGGCCATGGTCTTTGCAATCACTTTTTATGCATCAGAGCTGGACAACGACTAGGGAGGATAGAAGGAGAATTAATGCTTTTGCACTGTGGTGCTGGAGAAGAGTGTTGAGGGTACCATGGACTGATAGGAAACCAGATTCATCCTGGGGAGGGTTAAACCAGGCTGCTCCTTGAAGGCAAGGATTCTGGGGCTTCATCTGACATGCTTTGGACATGTTGTAAGGAGGGATCGGTCCTTGGAGAGGGACACCATGCTTGGGAGGGTGGAGGGACAGCGCAGGAGAGGAAGACCCTCTATGAGGTGGATTGATTCAGTGACTGGGGTAATCGGGATGGGTGTGTTGGAGACAGTGCGATTGGCACAGGACAGAGCAGAGTTTAGGGCTGTTGTACACAGGGTTGCTATGAGTCACAAGCGACTCGATGGCACATAACAACAACAACAACAACAACAATTGTAAAGCATCCTCTTCTGGTTTAGTAGTAAAGAGTTGCTCTACTAATCCAAGGGCACATGGTTCAAGTCCACTAGTTGCTCTGAGGGAGAAAGATAGGCAGTGTCCTCCTGTGAGATTTACCCCTTCTGAAGCAGCAGCTATGAGTCAGTTCCAACTTGATGGTAAACAACAACAACAAGAAGAACAACAATTTAAAATAATTAAAAAAGAACTCAACCCAACCCACTGTGGCTGATTAGATTCTGATTCACATCTTTTGGGACGTTATTGTTGTTGCTGATGTTAAGCATCTCTAATCACGTAAATCTATGTCACAGACCTCTCCTACTTGCCTTTAATGTATGGAAATTTGCCCTCCCTTTGAAAAGATTTGCCTTTCCTTGCATTGCTGTCCACCCTCCATGGGGAGTCCAAGGTGGTAAGAAGCTATCCACCTTCCTTGCACGGAGCACCTAGTGAATTTGAACCCCTGACCTATCAGTTAGTAGGCTCTCAATTACATCACAGGGGCTTCTTTTTCCAGCACTGATAAAAACACAAAACCAACCCCAAATCCCCTCAAACCTCACTGCCACAGAGAAGCAACCCACTGCTGACCCTTCAGTGAGTTCTTGTAAACTGCATGAGAAATCTGCCCATCATTCTCCAGCCAGCTGCTGGTGGATTTGAACCTCTAGAGAGCCACGGCCTTTGGTTAGCAGCACAACTCTCTACAGACGACAGCCAGAACCCTCTACAGCCAGAACCCTGCGGTACCTGCTCTGAATGATTTACACATTTTTAAAGATAGAGTTAGGAAGGGACCTTGTTCTTAATTGGGGGACTTGTCAGTACTCTCAAAGCCTGTGACATCATTTGACCTTAATGTGGTACCATCTCGCTTATATGTTACCTGGTTTTGTCCGTT